CGTCGACATTGACGAATCGTCTGAATCAAATTAAGATACAACCATCTGAAATTTTCTTGTGCACCGATCCTTACCTGCTCTAACATATCAGCCGCTATTTCTCGAAGTTTCCACAACGAATCTGTCAGAATCGGACGGAAATTGGCATACTAAAAATAACCTCGTCACTTCTCCCGTTCCAGGAATGCAGCATTTCTCAAGGCCAGGCAACTGTTACTGGAATGGAAAAAGGTTGCGGAAATTTTGGCCTTAAATCCTGCCCTATATGCTGCCTATCTCGCCTAATACCTGCCTTAATGTGACGCTTTAGTTGCTAGTTTTTTCTTTCAGAAAATTAACAACTCAACTATTGTAGTAAGGCAACATATGTGGCGAGCTAGGCAGGATACAGGGTCAGCTAATCAGGATGCAGGGCTAGGATTCCCCTCGCTTCTTCCTTTCTTATCACGTATGCCTGGCGTTTAAGCTGTTCCTTTTTATGGCAAAGGGTATGTCATCCATTAATTGGACAAGACTTTTGCTGCTTTGAAGAGTACGAGTGCAGTCCAGCAGAATCACACCGATTCAAAATCAAATTTCACTCAAAATAACGGGATGCAAGCCAAGAATAGAATTATGAGGTACTGGACTAAGGGTACGCCCTGCCGTTGGGGAAAAATTCAGCAAAATATGGCAACAAAAAACGACTCCCGCGAAGTCGCCCCCCTCCTTTCCTCAACTCCCATTCAACCTACCACTTTTCGAAATATCATCCCACCACTTTTGTTGAAGCGTTTCCGGGAAATCTTTAACGGCCCCTCATCACTGGGAATCTCCATTATGGCGTGCCCTGACTGGACATAGCCATCATCACATCATCACATCAAAACCAAGCACATCATTACCATCGAGAAAACAACGAGGAGCGTCGTATTGGTCCCTCCCCACCCAATCGCTTGATGACATGGTAGGAAGGAAGGTAAGTTGCGAAAGAGGTCCTACCGGGTCATACCGAAGAGAAGTTCAAGGGGGGCAGATTTAGGGGGAATTCTCCACAGCGTGGTGGTATGTCCTGGTCGCAATCATCGGATACAACGCAGAAATCGGAAGCGATAAAAAAGCCATGCAAACCCTGTAACAAAAACTACAAAACCCACCTTTTGAGACTGTTTATCAACACCTTTCAACACGCTGAACGGCATCAACATAAGGCGGTGACAAATGTATTTGCAATCATTATAGAATATTGCTGAAAGCACAAAAATTACACAAAACTCTGACGGCTA